TGAGCATGAGCAGTGAGCAGCCCCTCCCTAAACAAAGTGAAGCGCAGGACGGGGTCCGGTGGATGGGAGGCAAGGAAACGCGGGGGGTTGCCACGTGCGCTACCGCCGCCGCCGCAGGCAGCACCCCTGCGGCGGCGGCAGCGGCAGCAAGCCGTGGACCCAAACGCCGTGCCGCCGCCGTCGCAGGCAGCACCCCTGCGACGGCGGCGGCAGCAAGCCGTGGACCGAAACGCCGTGCCGCCGAGTCCCGTGGCTGTGGCCGTGGGCTTCTGGCAGGAAACTACGGCCGCAACTCGGCAGCACGGGGGCGTCGCAGCGTGCCCCCGCCGCCGCCGCGCTGCCCCCCGGGCACGGCGGCGGCGGCAGCAAGCTTGGGCCCAAACGCCGTGCCGCCGAGTCCCGTGGCTGCGACCGTAGACCGTGGGCCGGAAACTGCGGCCGCAGCTCGGCGGCACGTGGTTCTGTTCAAATCGCCAAGCGTGCAGCAGCGCCGAACCACGCTTCCCGGCCTCGGCGCATGCCTTCAGGGGCCCCCTATCGCAGCACACACTCAGAAACAATGGAAGCTGCAGCCTTATGGAGAATTGTGGTGCAGGAGGAAAAAGGAATGGCAGGTGAGAGTTGCGCAGTCCAATGGACATGATGAAGGACGAGAGTATTGCTGCCTACAAAGGCGTTCGCAATGAAAGCGGGCGGAGGGGGCAAGAGAGAGGAAAGCACCAGCAGGAAGAGAGCGCGAGATGTGCTGCATCGCACAGCAGAGCAAGGGCAAAGCTACAGTTAAATGTACTGCACGCGCAGCAATAGAATAAGGGATCTCACTGGAATTGGTCCTGGATTACCAGGTGGCGGGAAAAATTTGCTGCATCGCGCAGCTGCTGGAGGCAAGAAAAGATGAGGATAAAATTTGCTGCGTCGCGCAGCGCTGAGTTGTGAAGAAAAGACAAGTGTATGTGTCGGTTGGTTAATGGAACAAGAGGGCAATCAGCAATACACACATGCATATTCCTGTGGTGCTGGATGGGACTTCAGATGATCAGGAAGGGTGAAGGGCACCGGTGCCCCCTCTACAAGCGTGTTCAGATATTCAACGTGCAGCCGAGTTGGTGGACGCCCGCTCAGCAGGCTAGTCCAGGCGCAGGCCCCGCATGGTGTCAGACGCGCCAGCAGCAGCATCCCCTGCCAGCTCCTGCGCAGCCTCCTGAGCATGAGGAATCTCATCGCCAGCTGCTCCTGCAGTCGACGTCAACTGCTCGTGCTGGCTTGGTGGCGGAGGTGCACAGGCGAGGCTGGGCGCTCGTTGGGGTGCTGCGCCGTGGTCGCTGTCGCCAATGCCACTTCTGAGCGGCTGCCGCGGCTCGCTAGCGCTGTCCAGGGACGCCTCGCTTCCTGACCAGGACGCCCTGTCGCCACCGTGGCTCTCAACATCAGGCGTGCCGCTGCCGCTGCGTCCGCTGCTGGCAGACTGGGAGGCGTCGGCCGGGGCTGGCGACTCGGTAGCCGAGGGATCTGCGGGAGCGGCTGCCTCATCCTCGCCGCCTCCAGACTGCACCGCTGCTGCGCTGTCATGTCCCATGTCAGCAGCGGATGGGCGGTCCCCAAAGAAAGTGCCTGAACGATCCCGTAACCGCGCCTGCGGCTGCTGCCGTTGACCTGACAGGGCGGCCTGCTCGGCCTGCTCCGCCAGCACCTCGTGCTGCTGCTGCGGCTGCTGCTGGCCAGCACGCCAGCCTGGCACGCCGGCGTGCATGCTGGGCGCTGCTGCAGGCTGCTGCCGCTGCCGCTCGCTGCTAAGAATCTGCTGGTGGTGCGGCGGCGACGGCTGAATATAGGCGGATGAGCGGCGCTGGTAGGCAGCATCTCCCCCCTGCTGCTGCTGCTGCTGCTGCTGCTGCTGCTGCTGGTGATGGAAGAGGCCTTCTGCAGACCTGGGACTGGGGAGCCATCCCATGCGGCTGCCCGCTGCGCCATACCGGGGTGCTGGCGCCCCAGAAACCTGCCGCTGCTGTCGCCAATGGCTCTGCCAAGAGTGCTGCTGCTGCTCCTCCCAGCCCGGGCCCGGGGCGTGCAACGCCTGCGGCGTTGACAAGGCGTTGGTTCCCGCAACTGGGAATGCCGCCAGCTGCGCAGGCATGGCATACGGGGCGCCCAAGGGGGAAGCTGTTTGAGGTGCCAGAGCTGCTCCCATTGGTGGCGCTGCCGCGTACATGGCGGCGCCGGCAGGGTGATAGTAGTAGGGCACCATCATCGCGCCGGGGAAGCCTGCAGCACGCAGGGCAAAACGAATGCTAAAAGCCACAAACCAGACTACCCGCTGGCTGTGATTGCATCGCATGCAACTCCAAAAGCGGACAAATTACCTGGCGTCGCCGCCACGACAGGGAGCATCGCCAGCGAAGGCGAGGAGCCGCCCTCCCCATAGCCAGACAGCTGCTGCAGGCGGTCGTAGCGTGGCTGCGGCCCCGCGCTGTCGCCACTGCCACTGCCGCCAAAGTTTGGGGCGCTGCTCCCGGGGCCGGCAAAAGCCGACAAGGTGCCGCGCTCCCAGCTCTGCGGCTGCCGGTGCAGCGCCCACGATAGCCTGACTGGCCGGCCCATCAGCTGCATGAAGATGACAGGCGAAGGGCACGCCAAGCAGCGTGAAGTGGCACAGCAGCTAGGTTGGAACGGAGGAACCTTATGCCTACAAGGCAGGTTCATGGCGTTGCAACGTTCAGGACCAGGTTCCTTTCAGGCCTCACCATGAAGCCATCGAGCGCCTGCAGCGCAAGCTGCGCCTGTGCATGGTCCGCGAAGCGGACAAAGCCGCACCCCCTGCATGTCAAACAGGTGCAGCACGTTGAGTTGCAGCAGCTTCTGTCGACAAGCGAAGGGTCCTGGGACAACGCATGCGCTGTGGCACATGTACCTAGCAGCTGATAGTTGGGGGTCTACTGAAGCGGGCACTTCCTGCCGCACTGACGGGCCCAGCTGTCCGCTCATAACACTACACTCACTTGCTTGTGCCATCGGGATGGCGCAGTACCCTAACGGATACCACGCCGGAATGAGCGCCAAACTGCTGCTGGAGCGCCGCCTCATCAACAGCTGGCCTGCACATTGGCACCAGGCCGCCATTCAGGATGGCACGGCAGATGTAACTACGCATTCGCTCCGTTATATCAACTAATACAACGGAGCGAATGCGGGCAGCAATTGCGTGCCATTTGCATCTCCCGGGGCAAGCAGCATCACCCGCCTGCAGTCGTACGGACTGCGCAGGCGTGCCATCCGTGTCCTGGGGCATTTCAGCAGGAGTCACCAGGCTGTCAAATGTGCTCACCCAAGGGGCCTGGCAAAGAGCGTATCTGAGGACACTTCACCAGAGGGAGGGGCCGGACCGTA